TTTTTTTTTAGCCCAAGTTCCTCAATTTACCATTTTACCCTAATTTCATTTTGACCCCAATTTTGACCCGCCACCACCGGAGACCGCCGGTCGCCGCCGTTGACTTTTTTTTTTGTTTTTTTTTTTTTTGAATTTTTTTTTCCTGAAATTTTTCCGGCCGGTCAACGGCAGTTGACCGCCGGGTCTCCGGCGTTGACTGTTTTTTTTTTTTTATATAATTTTGTTTTTTCTTAAAAAAAATATTTTAATTAATATTACTGTCTTGGCTGCTAAATTACTGTCTCCGGCAGTTATTTAACTGTTGGAGACAGTAATTTAACTGTTAATTGACTCTTTTTTTTTTCTTCAAAAATATTTTAATTAATATCACTGTATTCGTTGCTAAATTACTGTCTCCAACAGTTATTTAACTGTCGGAGACAGTAATTTAACTGTTAATTGGTTTTTTTATTCTTAAAAAAAATATTTTTAATTAATATTACTGTATTCGTTGCTAAATTACTATCTCCGGCAGTTATTTAACTGTCGGAGACAGTAATTTAACTGTTAATTGACTTTTTTTTTTTTTTTTAATTTTTTTCCTTAAAAAAATTATTTTAATTAATATTACTGCCTTGGATGTTAAATTACTGTCTCCAACAGTAATTTAACTGTCTTAGACAATAATATTAATAATATTACTGTTCGGAAAAATAATATTCATAATATTACTGTCCCAAACAGTAATATTACTGTCTGAGACAGTAATTTAGTAGCCAAGACAGTAATATTAATTATAATATTTTTTTTCTAAGAAAAACAATTCAAAAAAAAAAAAAAAAATTAGTCAACGCCGGAATCTGGCCGGAAAAAAAAAACATTTCACAAAAAAAATTATTTTCTGAAAAAAAAAAGTTTTGGGGGTTAATGTGATATATTTGTTTAAATTCGGGGTCAATGTGTAATATTAAGGAAGTTAGAGTATAATTGGTGAAATTGATAATAATTATATTATTGAGGGTATTTTAGACTAAATCGTTTGCATTAAATGAAGTATATCAAAAAACATAAGTTTCTTGTATTAAATTTCATGATACGCCAGCCAACGATTTTTCATGCTTCTAGAAATATTATAATGAAATCTTTTCATTCTATTCTATTATTCAGGCTCCGTCAACACTAGCACATAAAAAAATTCAACATTTTTATTTATTTATTATAAGAATTTATAGATTTGTATTTATAAAAATACTATTTTATTATTGACTAATCTTGTGCTTGATTAGAATTTTGTTAGTCAGTGTATTTAGGTTTCATTCCTAAAAACTTTTGTAAAAGTAGAAGCTGATAATCGTGTGTGACCCGTTTAATTAAGCTTATTTTAAAAAACTGATAAGCTGTTTTAAAAATTGATAAGCTGTTATGTTACGTCTTGTATTTAAAATTAATTATTAAAGTGTTTGGATAATGATCTTACAAACTATTTTTACACATTATAAAATCTTATTTGCCCTCTAGCAGTTTATTTTTTGAATTTTTTTTAAGATTTTTTTTTTCAAAAATTATCAAACACTTTGAAAGAACTTATAAGCTCTAAAACATCTTATAAATATTTTAACAACTTATAAGCTTAACCAAATACCATCATATTTACCTATAGTCAAAATTTATGTGTCTGCAAACGTTTGAGAAAAATAGTACCTAATTTCGAAATTGATTCGTTTGTAAGTAGGTTTTAATTTTCAATTTAGTTTTATAAAATATCTAAAATTTCATCATAAAATGTATTAGATACAAATAATTACTTAATTAGTATAAAACAAAAAAGAAAAAAAAAACAAATGTTCTATGCAATTTTCAGTTATTTATAAAAGTGCTTTCACCTTACATAAGTTATTGCCATTTTTAAATAAATCACTAGATTCTACACACACACGTACACACCCACTGTGTGCATCATTATAGAAAAGAAATAAAAAAAGATTAAAGGTCAAATCTGAAATAAAAAAAAATGTCAGTAATAATAAAAAGGAGAGAGATATATATATATATATAGAGAGAGAGAGAGAGGAGAGAGAGAGAGATTGAAGAAACAGATTTAAGAACACGCAACAGTGGATACCACCTGCCATACCCTTTTTTCCACACTAAACCAAATCAGCCCAGAAAAATCGGATTTTTATTATATTACTTCTAACCGTTTGAATTCGATCATCCCAAGAAGAAGAAAAAAAAAATAAAAAAAAAATCGAAAATCTTACAGAAAATCAGCTGAAGAAGAAGAAGAAGAAGAGAGAGAAAGGGGTTTGCCACAAGCCGCGTAATCGAAGTGACCCTTAATTTTTTTTTTCAGGTTAAGTATTTTTTTTTTCATTTTTTTTTCAATTCAAGATTTTTGTATTCTTGAAGTATGTGCACTGGTTCTTTTAATTTTTCCATTTTTCATTTTTTTAATGGGTTTTTAATTTTTGTTTTTTTAATTTTTGAGTAGATGGGTTCAAGAATTGAAAAGTGTTAATGGTTTTTTTTTTAGTTTTAATTTAAAAAAAAAATTATTTAAATTCTTGATGTGTTTGTTCAAATTCAAGCATGTTGTCTGGACTTGTGCCTCTGATTATTTTAATAATTATATTTTCATCTGCAATTATTTTATGGTTAATCTCTATGTTTATCTTCAGTTTGTATATTATATTTGGTATAATTCAGCCTTCGAATTCGGAAAAAAAGAATACTCATACGGCATCGTTCGCGTTTATTCGGTACTTGATAAAATCAAATTCCCCGGCATTCGATCAAGTACTTGTTATAGTTGATATTAAATAACGAAATGTGGTAATCGCACGACGAGTTATCTGCTCTAATAAGTTGCTGATCCGTATATTTTTCTACCGTGACAGGCGTCTGGTGTCTCTACGAAGATGCCAGATTCAACTGAGGAGGAGTTAGAGAAAAAGCTCGATAATAATAATAATAATAATAATAATAATAGCGAGTACGTGCGGTTGGTTATACCAAATGAACTAAGAGCACACGAAGTCGATACCGAATCAGAATCACAATCAAGAAAGAACCCTCTCGTATGGTGGATCAAGGCTGCAGTATGGTGCTCGATAACCGTACTTCTACTTCTTATATTCGCTAAATGGGGAGTCCCGTTTCTCGTCGAGAAGGTACATTTAACTAACTTCCTCGTTTTTCTTTTCTTTTCTTCGTAGCCTTCAAATTGTATCTTCTGCATAATCTTCAATCGAAAAGCATATTAACTGAAAAGTCGAAAATTTTCAAGATTATTGGTCTGCATCGGTTAACGAGCTTTTTGCGGGTTACCAAGAAAAGGGTTTCGTTATTTTTTTTTTTCGTTTGCTGACTAGGAAAAGCAATCATAGAAACCTGTCATCTTACTTTTCAATGTCTAATTGCACGATAATACTTACTAGTAATGGCATCGCATGTCGAATTTTGTGGTTAATTATTTTTTTTTTAATGTATCGTAATTTTTTCCATGCACGAGATTTGATTGTAACCATTTTAATTCCTCGATTTACGATAGGTTCTTTTCCCACTCTTGCAATGGGAAGCCACTGCGTTTGGCCGTCCAGTACTCGCGCTCGTACTTGTTGCTTCTTTAGCTTTGTTCCCGGTGTTTCTAGTACCTTCCGGGCCTTCCATGTGGCTAGCTGGCATGATTTTCGGATACGGTTTAGGGTTTGTCATTATTATGGTCGGAACAACTATTGGAATGATTCTTCCGTACTTAATCGGTTTACTCTTTCGAGACAGAATCCATGTAAGAAAAAAATAAATTCTCATCGACCCTTTAATAATCTTGTCGGGTTTTTATTCGATATTTACTAAAATTGTCGGGTTTTCTTTTTTTTTCGATGAATCTTGAATTGTTAGCAATGGTTGAAGAGGTGGCCGAAAAAAGCTGCTATGATAAGGTTGGCGGGAGAAGGGAGTTGGTTCCATCAGTTTAAAGTGGTTGCTCTGTTTAGGGTTTCGCCGTTTCCGTACACGATATTCAATTACGCAGTTGTCGTGACGAATATGCGATTCTGGCCGTATTTGTGTGGGTCGGTTGCAGGAATGATACCCGAAGCATTCATTTACATTTACAGGTTTTTTTTCTCTCTCTATCTCTTTCCGATTTTGGAACAATATTTTTCATTCCGAATTCCGATTTCCGATTTTTCCATTTTTACTAAACAAAATTACACTTATAATATCTATGTTGTTATGTAGTTTATATTATGGATGACTAAAAAATTGGATATTTCGAATTAAGCCGATCCCAATCCGAAAATTTTCCGGTTTTGGAACCAGTTTTCTCATTACAATTTCCGATTTATCTGGAACCGAATTGGAATTAGTTTTTCATTTCCCACAAATTTGGAAATTTTCCACCATTTGTCAGCTATTTTTCGATTTATTTGGAATGCAATTCGAATTAGTTTTTTACGCACGAGCTCAGCTCATTGCGACAATCAAATTTTCACTTAAATTTTCTTAAATAGTTTGTTTTACAACCGAGTATGTTCTTCGTGTTTCATTGCTGAATCGGGTTTTTTTTTTTTTTTTTTCTGATTCCGTTTTTTGTGGCTCGTTTCTTTTTTTGGCAGTGGTCGGCTAATAAGGACATTAGCAGACGTGCAATATCGGAACCACCATCTAACTCCAGTCGAGATAATCTACAACGTGATTTCATTCGTTGTTGCAATTATCACCACCATTGCCTTCACCATTTATGCCAAGAGAACTTTGAAACATCTCGAAACTACAGAGGCTAATGGCGAATGCTCTCCCGCCATCGACAATAATCGCGGTTTCGAACTGGGAAAGCTTCCACTTGAAAAGTACAAAAATATCCCTGTATTTTGACTCGACTATAGGTCCATTAGCTTATCATTTAGATCTTTTACTGTATATGAAACATTGAAAAATGAATGAATTTCGAGGGTTTTCGATTTTTTATTCTTTTTAATCAAGGTAGTGAGACGAGAAATATAGGTGGTGACGAACATATGCACTGTTATTACAACGAAAGGTGATATGTGAATTTCAATTTTTTTTGTCCATATATTTGGCAGGTTACTTGTTATAATCTTGTCATTATATATATGTGGTTAGGTTAAAGTTTATTTAGACTGAATTTAGTAATTTCCTGAATGAAAGTTTGAACTCGACTCATTAAGATGTAAATACGTCAGAACTCGACTTGCGGGTTCAACTCGAATTTAATCTCGTTCCACTAATAATCAAATTAATTGCATATACAATTCTAAAAGCTCAATAAATATTCAAAGAAACTAAAAAAAAAGAAAAATCATATGTTCCGTTGGATTCGATTTGATTCTTCCTAAGCACACAACACGCGGTAAGGGAAGTATTTTATTTGAAATATATTTTGATCCTTACTGCGAAAAATCGTATTTCCGCAAGGTTTCAACAATATTACGAGGAAAAATAAAGAAAGACATGTATTCACAAATTTTAGTCAAATTCAACTTATCGTTTGCTTTAAAAAACGAGCAATTTCGCTTCCTTTCTTTGCTCTTGTATCTACACAAACAAAATCATACAAATCGCATCAACTTAAATAAGCATATACAACAGCACCGTTACACTTACTTGTCCATTTCGATCTAAAATACAGAGCTGTTTCTTTCTTTCTTTCTGCCTTAACTATATCTAGGGCAAAAACAGATATAATCGTACAAGAAACGAGCATAATTCGTCAGCAAATTACCCCCTCCACCATTCTCGTGTCACTACATTCTCGTCTCTTTAATTCGCCCAAAGGTTGGAATTTTCAGACAAGTTCGATTCAGATTTCATTACCAGACATACTTATGACAAAATTACAAGAGAGATCAATTAATGGTGTGCTGAATGTTGAGGTTGAGGTGGTACGTATAAAGTGTCACCAAAATCGTTTGGAGCATGCATTAGTGGATTCCACCTGTCAAAAATGATTCTCCCTCCTCTGCCGAATCTTCCACGGAAATTAAACGAACGAGCAGAAGTGCCGTTCGGTGTTGAAGAATCTGACTGAGGAGGTACTATTCCAGCAGCAGCTAATTTATCTTGAATTAGCGGTTTTGTGAATAGCAGAACTGGCTCGTTCGGGTCCTGCATAAAGAAAATCATAATCAAGAATTATCATGTCATTAATCGAAGTCGATTGGCTAATGCCAATTTTATACGAAGCAAATCGAAGGTGGTGAATAATTAGTTATGATTTAGGAAAGATGCAAACAGATAAGCACCAGTTTGTGAAGCCAACTATGAGGAACACGCCTTCTGACCTCCCGCCTAGGGTTTCCTGTAGGAACCATCACCATTTTTGGATCGGTGAAAGGTGGATTTTGCAACATGATTGGTCGACTGTGTGGACGGCTGTTTGCCACGTCATCAGAATCAAAGTACTCCTCTTCACTTGACCCAACCTTGCTTGGAAAGGATGGAAATCCAGGCAAGGCTAAAGAATCTTCAAGGAGATCGGTTTCATTCTGAAGACCATCCAACAGAACAAGAATCAATAACATTTTATCACGTAATAAAAATGGAACAACGTTTAGGAATGTCCTCGACATCAACACATTATTCTGTTAAGGGTATATTTGCAACTTTCTTTCTACAACATGATTAATTGGATTTCGAATTATTTTGATCAATTGAAGTGTATCTCATATAGATGAAGAATTAGTTAGTACACATCTAATAAGATGGAAAAGGGAATGTAGTTGCCGAAGACAACGCTAAAATCTTGACGCAAATACCGGAGTGTTTCTATAATAATTCACACGCAAATACCCTAACCCAGAGTTGTTGGATTAAGGCTTGATTATGACACCATTTAACTGAAAAACATGTTCGTACAAAATGGCAATCGTGTTGCAACATATATAACATGGTGCAGTCATTTCGGATTTCATCCATAACAGCGGAAAAATAATGATGCGAACCTTGTATTGCATTTGAATTCTTTGGAGGGCCACCTCACTCTCCACAAGTTCTCGTTTTTTCTCTTCTCTCTACATGAAAACATGATGGTGGGGTGAGCAGTAATAATCATTGCAAAAAACATTGTTCCGCATATACATAAATCCAGTTGGTGATTTCGTTATTTTCCTTTTTTTTTTTTTTTTTGAAGAACAGTTGGTAACCAATACCTTGATCAAAGCCTCAAGAATGGTCTTCGCCTGATCAAGATTGCGCCTGACCTGAGGAGAGTAAATCAAAAACCAAATTAAGTGACCTAGTAGGTTACTCTATATTTTAGACGTGCGACCAAACGAATTTTTAAACTATAAACTGTATCAATTTTAGCTCTAAAGCTCGTCACTTGTTAGTGTCTCACTACTAATCGAATTGATTAACGGTCGGGAAAGGGGAATAGATAAATTGCTCGAGATGAGAAACGGGGCCCTTCAACCCTCAGACTTGACGAACCAAATTTACAAGAAAAAAGGAATATGTTTCATTTACAAGCATTTGCATTATCAAGCATTAACAGTAAACATCTAATATTTTCCTTTCTGAGATTAAATACCATCAACAAATTGGCGCCACTGAATGAAAGTATTAAAGCCAACAAAGTATCGAAATTTCAACAAACAAATGTAAGTCAATTATAGAGCATTAACGATTATATTTTATTTTTTCTTTTCATAGATTGAAGCTTTAACAGAAACTGCAACGAAAACTTTTCATGTCAAGAGAAGCTACCAGACGAAGCAAAAGAACACTTCAGTTATTACCCTTGACTAGGTCACTATTGGCCCGTTGTCATTTGTTTGAAATTTTGATCTAAAGTTTTATATACAGGTCGGGGGTCTGCCGAACCCCAGTCTGATGAACATTTGATAAAAAATAAAATAAAGGAATAGTCAATTATTTAATGCTTCAGAAAATCAATAAATCACTTGATTTCAGATTTCCATACACCACACGAAACATGTATGATTGCTGTAACAATTGATTCGAGGGCTGTAATTATCCTGATGCTCAACTGGCCAAGTTTATAAATACCCAAACACTTATACTCTACAAAAATTGAAGTATCAACGGAAAAGGTAACTCAGTCAGGGTGAGATTGGTGGATAGGACATATGTACCTGGCGAAGCTTTTCAAATGATTGAACACTGTTTTCCCTCCTTTGCATCTGTTTAAAAACAAAATCCGGAAATTTCGGTTCCCAGGAGTTACCACATGTCCACATAATAATACCACGTAAACATATTTAAGCACTCAAAAGAGTACAGGATAGTACTCATACCCTCCTAGTGTGAAGCCTGTGAGCTTTCTCCCTTGGCCTGAATACATTGTACGGATTTGTGTCGTTAACTGGTGGAGGTGGCTGTAAATCAAATGCAAATGAACAGTTATTAGAACCTACAAAAACATAATCTAAGAAGAAATCATCTATGACTTGGACAGCACAAAAAAAAATTGCAGTGTCAAGAGCAACTCAACAATGCTAAGAGTCAATGGAGCATCAAAGAAGTGCATAAACTAACCTGCAAACGTCGAAGAATGGGTTTTTGCCATCGTTCCCGCTGTAAGGGGGAAAACACACAAGAAGACAAAAAAGGCAAAAAGTTGCATGAGAACTTATTTCAAAGCATTGTCTTTTCGTAAAGCATAAAAAAATGTACATGAGTATAAGCAATGGCATTCATTTTAAACTCTATCTTAGGTGTTCTATACATTTTTGTTTGTGGTGATACCATTTAGCAACTAAGCTTCTATTATCCGATATTAAACAGTACTAGAAACATGAAATGCTGCATTTCAGATAAAAATTGGAGGACCATACTAAAGAATTTTGAAGGTTATTAGTAAAGACCAATTTATGATTTTTTTTGAAAATTTCAGGAAGATATTTTAGCAAAATATCACCACAGAATAACGAACTAGCAGTTATTCGAAATCATAAAAAGCGTAAAATGGGGCCGATACATACCTTTTCCTTCCAGTAACTATAAATAGACTGGAAAACTCCATATTTGATGGAAAAAGCTTGTAATGCCTAGCAAATGAATCAACTTAATATTAGATAATCATAAAAATGAATTGACAGGACCCCAAATTAAAAATGAATTGACAAGACCCCAAATTAAGTCAACAATAAGGGGAACAAAAGGCACTTATAAGGACAACAATGATTTCCTATATCAATGGTAGCAGAATCCCTACTACACAAATCGAATAACATCAAATTGATGATTATGTGAAATGAACATGGATAACTATCACTTCTTTCCGAACTTAACAAAGATAGGCCTCTGATCCATCTCATAAACTTTGAAAACCAAACATCAACTAATCAGGTCAAACACGTTATGACATTAAGGTTGAATTTTAGTGTCCTTCGTGTGGAGGGTTTTTTGCACAAATATTGACCACCTTAAGCCCAAAACATTTTGCTCTTGAAATAAACTCACACTACATACCATACAACTCAAAATATTATATTTATAAAAAAAATGTCAAAAGTTTAGAGCCCTGTTCTTGATACCTGGGAACCATGACGTGGATTTTTTCCCCTTACCTATTCTAACTTGAATAGATGATAAAATGAAAACCTAAAGGCAAAATACTGTCCAACCCTATACCCGAAGGAAAAAAGAAATTAGCAGGTGAACTCAACTGACAGGTCAGAGAAGTAGCGCCTTCATGTCAGCTTTCAAGAAAACCAACTATCAGTTAAGACAATCAACATAAAACTAATTATCTCCAACGTAGTCATTGTCAATCTCAAGCTCGTAGCTGCAAATGGCCCTCATGATCCCTCATCATGAAATTCTTTCAGGACTAAGCCTCTCAGTGATGCATTAAACAGGCACTGAATACATGCCTAAAGATATCTACTTAATCAAAACAGTTCGTCCTATCTGATTGTAGACATACAATATGAAAAAAGGATAAAAAACGTTCAAGGCTAACAAAAGGAAGAGCATGAGATACATAAATATGTTGAAACACAGAAGAATCTCAGTTATTTTAAACTAGCTACACACAAGCTGATGTATAAGCAAGCTAAACATCTAGTGCAATGTGTTTCAGTTGGCAAAACAATAAATATTACAACAAAAAAGAGAAGTAAAAATTACATGCAAGAATCACAAACTCATTAAGCTTTGTAACATCACATGAGAACGTATAATATTCACCTCAACAGCAGCAGTAAAAGTTAAAAGCACCGGAATAGGAGAGCCCAGTGTCGGAGTAATAACTCCTGCTCTTTCACGAGCCTTATGATCTAAAACCTCTAACTTGAAAATAATTGTCTCTAATCTGCATTAAAAAACAAATGACATTGGTATAAGCAGTGGAGGAAGAACATATAAATAGAACCCAAATGCGAAGTGCTCATTTTCAACTCCCCTGCCCTCCCACCACCCTCAATAAAGGAAAAAAAATAAAATAATTGATTACTACACCAGCAGCAGCACCAGTGATTGTACTAATACTAGAAAACAGAGGGCAGGTTGAGGGGACTGGGAAAAAAACTCCACCCAGTTTACGATAATCAAATAAATAAAGTACGATATAAATTTAAAATTGCCTGAATTTTCCAATTGGATTGTGAAAAAGAACAACTCTTGAACTTATAAACAGAGATGAGAAAAGGTTGAACTCCGTATATTTTCCACAGCTACACCAGCAATTTTTTTATGTTAAAACTTACAAATTTTACACCACAAAGAATAAAAGCATCTGAATTAAGAATCTCATGTTCTATTAGATATTAACTTTTATCAGTATTTTCAAAGAATGTAGATGGAATCAAGAATTTGTATTACATGTAAAGCTGTAACTAACGTCACACGAAAAAGATGAAGCATCTCCAAAAAGTGTTCATGTTCTATTATGTAATAGTTTAAACCGATAATCTTTAAAGAACAGCCAAATAATGTTAGATTTTTTATTCGATAGGAATGCAAATTAAGTACAGATAAATTATTAAAATTGGTAGTTAAGGAACATCCAAGATATGGTCGATAAAGAAATGAAGTGAAAATCAAGAGATGAAAATAGAAGACATGCATTACTCGACTTCATAAGTACTATACAAGATAAAAAAGACTATTACTTTTCAGCAGCAAGAGTATTTCTTTCTTTATTGAATTCTTCAAGCCAATCTTCATCCTCATTATCGAGATCGTACTCCACAAATTCTCCAATTTCGGCCCGTGCTGTTAGCAACATAAATAAATTGTAAAACATAACGAATCTATAAGTGATACAACTCTCAGCAGCCAATAAAGTCAACTGACCTCCCCTGGCACGCAGATAAGACGTTGGTTGGCTGAAGGTACGAGAATAATCCCTTTCATATGTGTCCACATAGACAAACTCGGGAGTAGGTATTTCCGAAGCATTTTTCTTGCCAGGTGCTTGCGGCACCTAAAATTTTACAATTGTGGGATTAGGTCATCTATGTAATAAAATATTCACGACGGGTCTACCTCACAGTTAAGTAACACGGATCTATATTAAAGAACCAGAACTACGTCCAATTTAATAGGTATAACCTACAAGGTGAATCCCCGGAGCACCACAATCAAAAAAATCAATCTGGGAAGGAAGGTACATCAACTACATGATGGTTGCCGATTTAATTACATGAACCCTATTGATTAATCGATAAAACAGTAATAGGCATTCGGCAATGTATCAATGCAAATATCATACTAAGTGGATAGTCCTCGATAAGATGCGGGTTAGAATCAAAGACAATAGTAAGGTAATTGATTGATTGACTTTTATAAAGATGAAAACTAGACAAGCCGCCGGGATTTTTGAAAATTAATACTCTTATTCGCTGTCCTACAAGTTTAAGTAACTGAAAGATAACTGGCAATGTAATCATCCTACGGTTTAGGTAAACACCTCACCTCGTTTTCAGCATCTGCAACAAGTCGGAGTATCTGGGAATTACGAGTAGAAGTTGGGACCTCGTCATCCTCGAAGTCCTTAAAAGATTTTACGATTGGGAGCTTCTTGTTGATGTCAAGGGGTCGAGGCCTAAATGAGAGTCTACTCATAGCATCAACTCATCTCCCAGTTCACTCAATTATTCTTCTATATGCCTGCCACCATACCACGTGGCCCCACCACTTCCCTTACACTACAACAACACACAGAAAAGATTGAAAAAACAAAAACAAAAAAAGGAACAATCTTTATAGCATTTTAAAAACCAGCGTGCAATCTCAACTTGAACACACAGTAAAACAGCAATTCAGAAACCTCAACGCTTGCAAAAAATTAGCATGATATGAGAAAATAAGCATTGTCCCTCAAGGAGAAGAGGAAAAAAAGAAAGCATTACGTCACAAACCCTAGCTTATAAGTTGCAATTTTCAAATTATGAAATTCGCGCCCTAAAAAAGTTCCAAACCCCCGGTCGACACATGCACCCATTAATGCACACCTAAAACCCTCGTATTCAGCAGAGACGTACATATGCAACCACAAATTACACAAATTGGGACGCATGCGAACCCTAATTTGTGCATGCAAAAAGGGGGGAAAAGAGGGAACGATACCAGTAATCAGCGAAGAAACCTAATTGCGAGAGATATTGTTGAAACTAATTGATTTGGGGGAAAATTGGGAGAAATTTTGTGGAATAGGGTTTCTATTTGATTGCAGTACGGGGGAATCGTTGTATGCTAATGGGGAACAGATAGCACCAGACCCGAATCAATTTGACCCGACCCGACCCGACCCGACCCAAGTTCAGCTGCAAGTGGAAATGGGCGCGAGAGCTTTTTTCACAGTTTGTTTTATTTGTTTAGAAGGAAGCAATCATTGGGCCGGGCTAGAGTGGATATTATTCGGGCCCCAATATAGATGGATGGGCCTTACAATCAAACCCATATTCTCAATACAATTGATGTGAATTTAATTTATTTTAGTCATTTTTATTTATTTTTTGGCTCCTGATATTTACAAAAAAAAAAAAAAAAAAAATTTATTTTATTATTTGGCTCATATTTTTTATATTTTCTTATTCTCGTTGGGTTTTTTTTCTCCTTCGATCTTTCATATACTATTTTCGGTTTTTGTTTAATTTAACACATTTGATCTCATCAAAATCTTAAATACGATTAGTAAATTATAGATTTTTTTTTTTTTTTATAATGAAGGAATCTGCAGCCAACCATATAGGTGCATAGTAAACCTACATTCTCGTATAATAACTTGCAAACTATACGAAAGATGTAAAGTACACTAGGCTGACCATGTGCGACAAGCTTGACCTATCGACCGTTGGTAAGGGGATTCGAACCTGGGTCAATTGACACGGGCTCACTTGCTTCAACTTTTAGGTCATCCCTTGCAGAACAAACTATAGATACTTAGGAGTTAGGCCCCTTGCTTTCAATGAAAAAGTAAGATTGACTGATAAGTCTCTTATAATCAATAGTTGGGTTTGTTTGGTATCGGCCCGTGACATATTATCGTTCGATATCCTTGAATAAAGGGTTAGTAAGTTTTTCTGTTATCGAAGAATTAGTTATAAATTCAAATTTCTCCGCAAAATTTATTTTTGCCTCCCACTTGATGAAGTGATCTCATTTCTTAGTCGTTGTAAATCGTCGTAATTGAAGAGGTGGGCGCAATTCATTTTCGATCGCTGAAGCTTGGCAATTTGGATACTATTGCCGAAGATGAGGACGTGAGTTTATGATAAAACATATCGAAAATCATCATTTGATGAGGTCGGTCTTACTAATATCTTTTGTACTTTTTATGAACAATGCTTTTGACACAATTTAATGCAACATGTCACATGGAATTTCATATTAATGAGATAAACACATAATTGGCAAAAATAGAAGAGACTTAGAAAGAAAATTCGTATATGCCATTTTTTCGATTATTGGGTTATGGAGTTGTTTTGCACAAGGTTCCATTACCTACCTAACTACGATAAATAAATTTCATTTTGCGGAAGTCAACAAGTGGTAGAGATGATTTGCGAACAATACAATTCGAAAAAGTCAAAGGGTAAAAAAAACATAAATGCACACGCGCGCACCCACAGACACAAAATATCAAGATATGTTACCTGATTAAAAACTAAAAATCTAGAACCATTGCTCGCTTCAGATCCATTTAGTTTACCCCATACCCACTTCAAATAAGTTGTTTCCGGGTCTAAGACCAATCAAATCCGTACCTATTACCATCTCTAGGTATTTTGATAGTAACAAATATGCTCTTAAGTGCAAATTCTACAACCATTTCTTTTATTGTGTAATTTTTTATATGTTTTTTTTTTCCAACTCATTCAATTCAATCACAACTAAAGTTCAACAATTAATCCAAACAATCAATTTTTTTTATAAATAAAATAAATTGAGGGCCATATTGAAAGTTGAGACTCACCCCCATATTGAAGCATAAGCCAAAGCGAAGCCACGTGGCCCTATCCATCAACAACATTATCATTAATTAATTATTAATTAATATTTTTTTAATTTATATGGCCACAAACATCACGCGACATGATATATGATGATGTTCCCATCAACATCAAAACCTTCCCAAGTTATAGGAAAAGTTGCTACTCTTATTTAACACCACATAAATCTTGACACACGTTTTTGGCAATTTTACATTAATTTTATGCTCTTTATTGTAATTTCTTATTTTTTTGCCTTTTTTTTCTAGGGTAATTACAAAAAATACCCCCACCTATTCGTAATTACCAAATCTTCCCTGAAGTTTGTTTCCATTTTACACCAACCCATTACAATGTGACTTTTCACGTATTTTTTTTTATTCCAGGAAATAGACATTACACAATTCAGATATTTTAGTTTATTTCTCACCTATTTAACATAAGGTATAATAGACTATACACATTTTCTGTTAAAAAAACTCGATCAACAGTTAATCAGAGGAGGATTTTGGTTATTATGGATGGAAGTGTTTGTTTTTACTATTTAGCATAAGTTCAGGGGGATTTTCGTAATTTACCCTTTTTCAATGACTCATCAAGAAATTTTAGATACTTTACCTTAAGTTGGAATGGTTTTTTTTTCAATTTTTGGCAAATATCGGGAGTAATAATTTCTTCTAATTCAAATGCATGTCTACATGTAAAGTAATATTGTCATAACCGGACGACCATTTTAGCCACGATTCGATGAGGTTCCGACCACCTACTCAACCATGATCCGCTTAGATCCGGTCACACACAAACAACTCCATGCCAATTTGTGCCCTTTTAGCAAAAAATCGAGTTCTTTGGCTGATTTGTCAGTTTTCGAGTTTTACCGGATCGACCCGGGTTTCGTGTAACAGACCCGAGCTAGAGGTCAGATCAGACCGTTTCATCGCGATTTAAATTAGTGGAAAATTTGATATTTATTTAAAATTTGAATATTTTTTAAAGAATTTAGAGGGCCAAGTATGTGGCATATTTTTCATTACATCAAACCTTTTGGTGTCTCTTCTCTTCACTTTCCATTTTGCTTCTTAAACCCTTCTTTCCATGGCGGCGAGACCTAAACGCTGAAAAAATTAGATCAAAGAAGAAGAATTTCTTCCATTCTGCAAACATGCCCACCTTCACCACCATCGCCTTGGAAAATCTACTCGAACCTAGGGTTCGGCACTCCTCCAAGAAGCAGCTTTTCCATGGAGATTCGGAAGATCTCAACCCGAGAAACGAGGGTACGAGACACCTGTACATATCGCCGGCTTTGTACGCTACCCCGGATCAGGCTCCGTTACCTGAGTTCTCCTCGCCCGACCCGGTCCTGCCTTCTCCGTACCTGGTGAACCTCAAACGCCGCCGCGGAGGAAACCAGAGGAGCGGAGCTCCGGAATTGCCGGAGGAGGTTTTGGAGAATTTTGCGATTGAGGAATTTGTGGGGGAAGACGACGGCGGTGGAGAGGAGGAGGGGTTTCTCGATCCGAAGAGTGAGGCGGCGGCGGATGAATTGAACATAACTCAATTTGATTGCCGGAGCCTTGTCTCTGCTCCAGGGGATTTTTTCGACGCCATTGATGGTAAATTTGATTTTCATCTTGCTGTTCTATATATATGTGTGTGTGTGTGTGTGTGTGTGTGTGTGTGTGTGGAATGAATTGATGGTACTGTTAAAAGTCCGATTAAAGTACATATATAAGGAATAACACCACGAAACAAATTGACACGATCCAAAAATCTCCTTAGATGCATTAGATACAGTGTTCGTTTCCGGTAGTTTCGTCGTTTTAGCTTCCGTGTTTTTATTGGCTGATTATTGTTTTCCTCCTAGGGTTTACTTTCAATACTCGTGTTAGATAGATTGATTCATTTACTTATCGAACATATCACAACTCGACTTCTTATGCAAACAGAATTCTCCTCCGACGGATCCATTTCAAACACGCCATCACATGATTCGATCGAATCGGAACTGCGTGCCTCGAGGCTCCATCTTCTCGACGAAATCGAAAGGAGAAAATCCGCCGAAGAAACTCTCGATTCAATTCGCAGCCAATGGGAGAGAATCCGTAGCATCATGTCCGATGCTGGTTTAACATTTCCTGCACTTCCAATCGGTAGCGACGCATTGCAAATCGAGAATAATAATACATTGGACCAGATTTCTCAGGAAATTATCGTCACTAAATTCGTCGCTGACGCAATTGGGAGGGGGCAAGCGCGGGCCGAAGCTGAAGAGGCTGCTTCGGCTATCGTTGAATTGAAAGAGCAGCAGATTATGCGGTTAAAGGATAGGCTGCAGTACTACGAAACCGTTAATCACGAAATGTCTCAGAGGAAACTTGTCGGTACGTAAGATTTTGACCAATTTTGACTTGTGATAAAATTTACGACTGTGTGGTACACGATATATATACGAAATTCGTAAGGGAGTTGACTTTTTCCTCGGATTTTACTGCAGATGTTGCGCGTAAACAACAAGAAAGGAAAAGGAGCAGGCGAAGGTGGCTGTGGGGAATTATGGGGTTGTCGATTGCAATAGGTGCTTCGGTAGTTGCTTATTCGTACATTCCTCGGAATAGTGAATGCCTTTCGTTGCTAAAATCCGACGACTCTACTGATGCCACCTCATCACTTGGCATATCTGAAACCACAACTTCCGAGGTATAATTAGCAGCTGCGTATTGAGGGAGCTAAGCTATATTTCTTCACTGGTTCAATACTTTGAAATTTGTCCTGTATTTTTCTAGTTAGTGTTCGATCAAAGATTAGGTAGGTGATTCGGTTTTAGTTCGGGTTTATTTTACAACTTATTTTATAAATTTGTTAGACAGTTGTTCTCTTGTGACAAGTTTTTTTTGGCCTCAATTGCCTGAAGCAATGTACAAGAACTATAACCCAGGTGGTATTTGAACGAAACGACACATACATAACAGACCGATCCGATCAGAATTTGTACTTTCGGGATATTTTTGATTTTTTTTGGAAGTGAAAAACTAATTCCAACTCCGTTCGAAATAAAATCGGAAATTCAAATGAAAAAACTTGTTCTAGAATCGGAATTTTTTTGGATCAAGATTGATGGCATTTGGAATTCCCAAATTTTAGTAACCTGTAACATGAATTTTGTAATAATGTTGAAATTTTGGAATGTAATTGAAATTTTTATGATGGAAAATTAGAATCTAATATGTATTACAATTCCGTTAAAAAAAAATCGAAAATATCGGAATTCATTATGTTGTTTCAAAACCAAAAAAATTGGTTTTGGAATCGGCGGAAGTCGGATTTTCAATTCCAATTTCCACCTCTAGATAGTGCAAATGGCGAATCTTCTCATTGATCATTGATTTTTATTTTGGATGTCTAAATTGAAAGATCCACCACAAAACATGAAATTGCATAAACATCCACCACAAATTGAAAGTAACGTGCGCATTTTCATTGCTCATGCCCAGTTAGTTATATACCAAACCTGAAAAATAAAAAATCGACATGATTTTCGAAAACGTCATAAGATGTGTCCTAATGTACCTTCGCAACATCATAGAAGCAAAAATCTAGCAAACATAAAACATATGGTGAAAATAAACTTATCAAATTTGTATTTTAGTGAATACATTTTTTTTACTCTAGCAGTCAAATCATGTTTGTTAGGGAGAAACATTTGAATTTTTTTTAAGAATTTTACTAAAAATATTTTAGGAAAATAATTTTATTTTAAGAGAAAGAGTGAAAATAATTTGAAAATGGTAATTAACATAGCCTATATATCTTGCATAACTTATGTACCTCGAATATATAAAAGTAGCCACCTTGAATTAGGTAGGTCAATAAATTTCAAATATCATATATACCAACAAATCTTTAAATTTAATTGACTTATCAAACATGTAATTATTTGTGTAGATTCGAAGATTACATGCAATCAATCGTCTATTCGAATTAAATTCTTACCTATAGCAACTAGTATTTATACTCCATGGCAATTTGAGAATTTTTTGTATAGAAAAATAAAAATCTTATAGAAACACTTACATCATTAAAAAAAAAAAATTTTAAATTCTCATGGACAAAATTAGTCTCTCTTTGTTTCTACTATGTTGCCTTCTTGCCATTGGATGTTGTCATGGAGTAACAATTTTTTTTTTCTTTCTAATATATATAAATTAATTATTTAGTTTTTTTTTCTATCAATTATTTTGTTAGTTACAATTTTTTTTTTAATTTATTGTAGAAGAGACCTTGGTGCGTTGCAGATACAAATGGTCCTCCTGCTCCTTCTGATGCACAGTTTCAAGGATTTATCGATTATGCTTGTGGAATTGTAGACTGTTCTCCGATACAGCCAGGTGGCAGTTGTTATAATCCGAACTATCTCGTAAGACATGCGGATTATGCTCTAAACTTGTACTACAAGTCTCGTGGCGTATGCAATACGGAAATTGGTACGATAACAAGTTTCGATCCTTGTAAGTTCTCTCTCTCGCTCTACAATATAGGTATTTATTATTTTCATTTAAATATATATAACTAATTTTATGTTTGTTACAATGCAGCATATACAGGTTGTTATTATCCATGAGTGAGAGAAGAAAGAGAGAGCTAGAGAGATTCAAGAATAAACGAGTTTTGATAGAATATGGCTTTAAATGCTAAATATAAGTACTTGATTTTGAATATATTAGATAATTAAAAGGGATTTGCTTGAGGGTTTGTCTTTTAGTAATAATTTTATTTTGTTAAACCTCATAAATTAATACTTGATAAAATAATAGCCTCGATTAAATAATGGTTTCTCTCGGTTCCGACTTGGTGAATGTGTTAAAATTATTAACTCAATAATTTAATAATTCGCTAAATTAATAGAATTTCCCTAGTCCCGACTGTATTAATTTATAGAGGTTTAATTGTATATGATTATATATTGTTTTTGGAATAGATTGATTGAAATTATTCAATATATATGAGTTTCTTAATTTTGAGACAAATTCCTAACATAATGAAAAATCCATCTAGAAATGAAATATATTATTGACAGTTTATTGTTGTAGTTATTCAAGCAAATACATAAAAGTAACTTATCTATATTATTGAAGTTGATTTTTGAATGGAATTTGAGTTTTAATGTATTGAATTAAGTTTGCATAAATATATATTTTTTTAAAGAAAAACTTGCATCTATGTACAGTTAAACCTTTGTAAATTAATAGCCAACTTCTATTAATTTAATGAAATAATTTTTAGCATGTTGCTTTCGAGTCGGGATCGAGAAAATTTATTGAGTATGAATTTATCGAGGTTCTACTGTATAAGGGTAAAAATGTAAATGCCCATTATCCGTAACGTAATAATTTAACGAAATAATTTTTAGCATGTTGCCTTCGAGTCGGGACCGAGAAAACTTATCGTGTATGAATTTATGGAGGTTCTACTGTATAAAGGTAAAAATGTAAATGCCCATTATTCGTAACGTAAATTCCTACCGTTTGAATTTATCGAGGTTCTACTGTATAAGGGTAAAAATATAAATGCTAAAATTTATCGAGGTTCTACTGTATAAAGGTAAAAATATAAATGCCCATTATTCGTAACGTAATAATTTAACGAAATAATTTTTAGCATGTTGCCTTCAAGTCGGGACCGAGAAATGTATCGAGGTTTTATAAAAATGTAAATGCCCATTATTCGCAACCTAAATTCCTACCGTTTGACTGCTAAAGTCAATTAATATTTTAGTTATCACGAATATGTGAGGCATTTTTCGTGATGTAGTGTAAGTTTAGGAGGTTTTTTATATTTTTATATATATATATATATATATATATATATATATATATATATATATATATATATATATATATATTCCCATATAAATGCCGGTGTTTCTAGATCTTTCCATGTTATATCCTGGGGGGCAAAGAAACAAAGAGGATCAAGAATTGGGGTGAATGGGAAGAAGAAGGAAGGGGCTGAGATGAATTGGGAGCTGAAGAGGAACCCTAGAATTGCTAAAGGTGGAGTCTTGGCACAATCGGGAATTGAGGAAGAGATTGAAGGACGGAACGATGCCGTTTCGGTTGAACCGGATCTGGGAGCTATGGGCCGAGTTTAGCAGCCCACTTATGTTATTTGTTTTTAATTCTATTTGGGCCATTTGTTTATTCTAAACCCAATAGTTATTTTGTCTATTTTATTTTATGTTTTGCTGATGTTATTGTTAGTGGGCTAGGGTAGAAAATATTCCCTATGTTGGAAGGGGTATTTATACCACGCTTGGGTTGAGGAATATGGTTATGAAAAGTTTCACTAATTCTTTCCTTTCTTACTTTCTTTCTTCTCAAGTCTTTCTATTCTCATCTCCTTCTCTTCAATTAATACAGCAATTACAAATATTATAATATATTACAACATATAAATATTAGTATATCCGTGGATCTTGACAATTGGTACTCAGAGCAAGGTCTGATCTAATGGCGGACGGCACCAGATTGGAAGCACACCGGAAACTGTTGGAGCAGAAGCTGCAGGAGGAAATGGACAAGAGAGTGGCAGTAGAAACAAACCTGCAAGAACAGATCAGTTTAAATCATGAAGAAACAAAAAAATCATTTGAAATTATGCAAATTCAGTTGGGCAAAATAGCGGAGAGAATAGAGATGTATAACAGAGACAAATCCATTATGGGGGAGGGATCTGCTTCAGGCACAAATCCAACACCATTTACTGCCCAACCAGAGCATTTCACCAGACCACCAGAACACAGAAACAACAGAGGGCAAGATGTGATGGTAAACTCAAACCCTTTTTCTGGTAATTACAACCCTAACCCTAAAATTGAATTCCCCAGATTTGATGGTAGCAGCCCTAGAACATGGTTGTTTAAGTGTCAAGGGTATTTTCAGTTGGTGTCAAACATACCTGACACTCAAAAAGTGGTGTTAGCTGCTTTGCATTTTGAGGGAAGAGCAGCCATTTGGTATGGGCATATTTCACAGAATAATAGGGTTTATTCTTGGGATCAGTTTGTTGGCCTTGTTTCTGCTAGATTTGAGGATCTGAGGGAAGCTAAAGTGTTAGCTGAGATGGGCAAGTTGAGAGTTACAAACTCTTTGGAGGCTTACATTGATAAATTTGAAGAGCTTAGGGCTTATTTATTGATGTTCAATACTAGAGAATATGATGATGAGTTTTTTCTGACCTTCTTTGTTAGTGGTCTGCCTGAGGAGAATCAGAAATTTTTTGATCTGTTTGAACCTAAATCATTTCAGCATGCTATTGAAATGACAAGGAAACAAGAAGCCACCCTAGAGGCTGTTTCTAGGAGGGCTAAAGGGGGAATGAAACAAATGATGCCATACCAGAACCAACAAAGAAGACTACTCTCAAACTCTGATTCACACCAGAACCAGCCAACCAAAACACCCTACACTCCACCAGCTCTTATGCCACCCAGAAAACTACTTACTAGGGAAGAAATGAAGGCTAGAAGGATGAAGGGTTTGTGCTTTAATTGTGATGAGCAGTATAGTCAGAATCATAAGTGCAAGTTTAGTCAACTGTATATGATTATGACTGATGAGGAGGAAGAGACTCATTTACTCAGCCTAACTGGGGAAGGCAGTTCAGAGAGGGAGGAGGCTTACTGTGATGGGGAGGTTTCTTTGAATGCTATTGAAGGAAACAGTGGTGTGAAAACCATCAAAGTGGTTGGAGAGGTAGAAGAAGGGCCTTTGAATATTCTCATTGACACAGGGAGCACCCATAGCTTCATCAGTGAAGTCTTAGCTATCCAACTCAGCTGCCACATTGATGAAACTAACCCTATGACAGTCACCATGGCAAATGGGACCAAGACTGTTAGCAAGAAGATTGTCAATGGCTTGATTTGGATGATGCAAGGGGAACCATTCACTTTTCCTTTGAGATTGCTAACATTCAAGGGGTTTCACATTGTTCTAGGGTGTGATTGGTTATGGGAGAACAGCCCTGTGAAGTTTGATTACAAAAGAAGGTTTGTCAAGCTCAAAAGAGGGGATCAGAAAGTGGTAATTACTGCCAAAGAAGATTTTGGAGAGGGCAAACTGATGACTGTTCATCCTGACATGAACAAGGGAGGAATTGGCATCACTGAAGGGGGTAGTCAATTCTGCACAATACAAACCAACAGTGGGACTGTTGTTGTGCCTGAAAAGATTCAGAAGTTGCTGGAGCACTATGGTGATTTGTTTGCTGAACCACAAGGGTTGCCACCAGTGAGGGGGGTTGAACACCAAATCATTCTCAAACCTGATGCCCTACCTAAACAGTTATACCCCTACAGATACTCACACTCTGCCAAAGATGAAATTGAAAAGATTGTTGATGAGCTGTTTAAATGGGGAATTATTAGACAGAGCCAAAGCCCTTTTGCATCTCCTGTCTTATTGGTAAAGAAGAAAGACAGTTCATGGAGGATGTGTGTGGATTATAGGTATGTGAACACCATGACAGTCAAGCATGATTATCCCATACCTATCATTGATGAACTTTTAGATGAATTGTATGGGGCAAAGTGGTTTTCAAAGATAGACCTGAGGTCTGGTTATTTTCAAATTAGGATGAAAGATGAAGATGTGTACAAAACAGCCTTCAAAACCCACCATGGCCATTTTGAATTTCTGGTAATGCCATTTGGGCTTTGCAATGCTCCTGCCACATTTCAATCCCTCATGAATCAGGTGTTTGCTAGGTATTTGAGGAAATTTCTGTTAGTATTTTTTGATGATATACTGGTGTATAGTTCTAGTTTGGAAGAACATATGGAACATTTAGACACCACACTGACAATCCTGAGGGATCATCAGCTCTATGCCAAACAGTCCAAGTGCCAATTTGGGCAGACCAGCATAGAATATTTGGGACATATTATCAGTGCACAAGGAGTGTCCACTGATCCCAATAAAGTTCAGAGTATGCTGAATTGGCCTATACCAACCACTGTCAAAGGGCTCAGGGGGTTCTTAGGCCTGACAGGCTATTACAGGAAGTTCATTAAGGGGTATGGTATTGTGAGCAAACCCCTTACAGATATGTTGAAGAAGGGGAAGTTTAAATGGACAACTGCATCTGAGTTAGCTTTTGCACAACTTAAAGAGGTGATGGCATCTTCTCCAGTACTTGCTCTACCAGACTTCACAAAGACATTCATAGTAGAAACTGATGCCAGCTCTACTGGTCTAGGAGCAGTACTGATGCAGGACAACAGACCCATTGCATTTTTGAGCAAGGCTCTAAATGCCACACACCAAGCCCTATCTATTTATGAGAGAGAATTTATGGCTGTCTTGCTTGCTGTTCAGAAGTGGAAACACTATTTACAGGGCCATCACTTCATTCTCAGAACAGATCAGCAGAGCATTAAGTACATTGTAGAGCAGAAATTCACTACTGCCCTACAGCAGAGGTGGATTGCTAAGTTGATTGGTCTGGATTATGAGATTCAATACAAGAAAGGGGTGGAGAACAAGGTAGCTGATGCATTATCTAGACAAGAACACACTGCAGCCAGTGTTGGTGCCATATCTACAGTACAGCCAAAATGGTTATTGGAAGTTCTGGAGAGTTATAAGGGGGACAATGAAGTTAGAAAGATTATGGCAGCTAAAGCTATTGATGCAACAGCTTATGAGGATTATGGATTGGTACAAGGTGTATTAAGGTTCAAAGGGAAGATTTATGTTGGCACACACACAAATCTTAGAACTAAGTTATTGGAATTTTTCCATAACTCAGCCATTGGGGGGCATTCTGGTATGTTGGGAACTTATCAGAGGTTGAAGGGAAATTTTTACTGGCCTGGAATGAAGGCAAAAGTTGTGGAATGGGTGCAAAGCTGTGATGTTTGCCACAGAGCTAAACATGAAAACACTCCCTATCCAGGTCTATTGGAACCTTTAGAGATCCCTACAGGTGCATGGACTCACATTTCTATGGATTTTATTGAGGGTCTGCCCAAGTCTGAGGGTAAAAATGTTATTCTAGTGATTATTGACAGGTTTACCAAGTATGCACATTTTTTGCCATTATCTCACCCTTTTTGTGCAGCTACTGTGGCTAAACTGTTCCTAGATAACATTTTTAAGCTACATGGGCAGCCAGTGAGCTTAGTTTCAGACAGAGACAAGGTTTTTACTAGCAGTTTTTGGGTGGAGTTATTCAAACTGCTTGGTACTCAACTGACCATGAGCTCTGCCTACCATCCTCAGAGTGATGGACAGACAGAAAGGCTAAACCAGTGCTTGGAAAATTATCTCAGATGCTGTACTAGCCAGCACCCTCACAGATGGATGAGGTGGATCTCTTTGGCTGAGTACTGGTACAATACAAACTACCATACCAGTCTCAAGATGTCACCTTTCCAAGCACTATATGGGTATTCACCCAATCACCTATCACTAAGTCCCTATCTAGACAGTATTAATCCTGAAGTTTCAGCTATGGTGCAGCAAAGAATTGAAGCATGGGGGCTGATTAAACAAAATCTTATTCAAGCCCAGGCTAGAATGAAATGGTATGCAGATAAACATAGAGTGGAAAGATCTTTTGACGTGGGAGAAGAAGTCTATCTTAAACTACAACCATTCAGACAGAATTCAGTTGTTTCTCGAGCAAATCAAAAATTAGCAAACAAATACTATGGTCCCTATCCTGTTATTGCTAAAATTGGGAAAGTCGCATACAAGCTGTTGTTACCTGAGGGGGCGAAGATCCACAATGTCTTCCATGTATCCCTGCTGAAACGCACAGTGAAGCCCACAACATCGGTCTCACACACTCCACCCGCAGCCATGGCCGATCCTGTGGAACCCTCGAACACAGACCCTACTTCGGATTCTTGGGGGCAAGAATCGTCTCAAGGGGGGGGTAATGTTATATCCTGGGGGGCAAAGAAACAAAGAGGATCAAGAATTGGGGTGAATGGGAAGAAGAAGGAAGGGGCTGAGATGAATTGGGAGCTGAAGAGGAACCCTAGAATTGCTAAAGGTGGAGTCTTGGCACAATCGGGAATTGAGGAAGAGATTGAAGGACGAAACGATGCCGTTTCGGTTGAACCGGATCTGGGAGCTATGGGCCGAGTTTAGCAGCCCACTTATGTTATTTGTTTTTAATTCTATTTGGGCCATTTGTTTATTCTAAACCCAATAGTTATTTTGTCTATTTTATTTTATGTTTTGCTGATGTTATTGTTAGTGGGCTAGGGTAGAAAATATTCCCTATGTTGGAAGGGGTATTTATACCACGCTTGGGTTGAGGAATATGGTTATGAAAAGTTTCACTAATTCTTTCCTTTCTTACTTTCTTTCTTCTCAAGTCTTTCTATTCTCATCTCCTTCTCTTCAATTAATACAGCAATTACAAATATTATAATATATTACAACATATAAATATTAGTATATCCCGGGATCTTGACACTTTCCCTCCATCGGAATAAGCACAACAGAGTTTCATCTTCACCACCTCTTTCAATTCTTCTGCAGAATGCCAATGGCGGCGCTGAAAACCACTGTAGCTCGTTCTCTTTTCCTCTCCAAATGCAGACCTCCCTCTTTGCCTCTTTTTAGGCGCCTATTCTTCAATTCGTCCACCCTTTCGTCGCCGCGCTCCTCCCCCTTCTCCGCCGCCGAATTCTCCAAACCACCCTTTTCATTCTTTCATCCAACCCGAACATTCTGCACCTCTGAATCTCCGCCGCCCAAGAAACGCAACCCCAAATTGGTGAACTTCTCCCTCCCCTCCGATTCCGACTCCGATTCGGAGACCACCACCGCCGCCGCCGCGGCGAAACAAGCCGTCAAACCCAAGCTCCCGCCGCCGTACAACCCGTTCGACAAAAAGCCCGCCGTGGAGGAGCCCGACGACCCGAAGAACCTCCAAGAAGTTTTCGCAAAGATACGCGATGACGGCCTCATAAATAGTGCAGTCAAGATGTTCGACGGATTGTCTCAGGACGGATTAACCCACGAAGCCCTCGAACTCTTCTCCCAGATCAAGGACAAGGGCCACATGCCGGACGTGGTGGCCCACACGGCGGTGATCGAGGCGTACGTCAACGCGGGCCAGCCGAAAGAGGCCCGCAACGTGTACCTTCGGATGCTGGCCAGTGGCGTACTGCCCAACGCCTACACTTACGCGGTGGTGGTTAAAGGCCTGGCCGAGAGTGGCGACTCCAAAATGGTGAAAGATGCGAATAGATACGTTGGGGAGATGGTGGCGCGCGGGATTAGGCCGAATGCTGCGACTGTTGTTGCGGTTTTCGAGGGGATGTTGGCGGCTGGTTTGGAGGGTGAGGCGGCGGAAACGGCGGAGATTTTGAAAAAGAAAGGATTTTTGCCGGAGGAGAGTAAGGTTAGGGAGTTCTTGAAGAATAAGAGAGGGCCTCTTTATGGTAATGTGATTTGTGTTTTGTATGGGAAATGAGAATTCGAAAGTCGTATGTTTTTTGCTTTGGTGTTTACTTTGTTTGTTTGAACGGAAACGGTTGGAATTTTCATGAGAGAAATGAATTTCTAAAGTTATTGCATTGTTCGAGTTCCGATTTTTTTTTTCGATTTTTGATTTCCACGCGATTTGATTAACCGTTAATCTTTTTTTTTTTTTTTTTTTTTTTTGGGAGATTAAGGATGTGGGAATTGAGAATTAGAAGTAATTCGTGTTTAGTTTGTTTGTTCGAACGGAAACGGTTGGAATTTTCATGGGAGAAATGAATTTCTAAAGTTATTGCATTCTTCAAGTTCTGATTTTTTTTTTCGATTTTTGATTTCGACACGATTCGTTTAACCGTTAATTTTGAGGATATTGATCACTAGATACGAAGAATTGCAATGTCGACTTGCAATGCTCGAAAGATGTAAGGTTGTTCTTCAAGATGGATTCAAAATCAAGTTGGATTTGATGGATTCATCCTTAAACTTTGTTTTGGTGCTCTTTAAGACGTACGAACGTTGCTTATTAAGCTTTTATCGAGGATTAATTAAGCTCGTGAGCCGGCTCGAAAATGGAGGTATTTAGATACGTTTTGCTTTAGAATTTACTTTGTTACGAAATGCTATCGATTTGTTAATTTAGCATTCTATATATTCGAAGTGGTTGAGAAAAAAACGTAATTACTAACATGAATCGATGGATTCGCAATTTCACACCTACTCGTAAGATGAACAAAAGGTCGTAACTTGCTCCTATTATTTTTTATTAATCAGGCTCGTGAGCTGGCTCGACTTCTTTACATCCTTATTGTAATCTTGAATTTGCCATGTGATTTGCGGAGATGAACAAAAACTTTCCGACTTTGGAATAATTTATTTTATTTTATTTTATCTTCCGGAGAAATTTCTTCAAATCGTGATGGAATTTCATTTCTTTTCACTTTCGAGAATTTTTATTTTTATGTTTTTATTTTCTTTTTGAGGATGCTAGATGATCATCTTGTTACTACTCCCTCTGTTCAACAATAACTGTCTCTTTTTAAAATTATTTTTGTTCCATATTATCTGTTACTTTACATTTCCAATACTGCATTAATTGTGTAATTATCAATTTTACCTTTATTAACTATCTTCAACACTCTCTCACATTAAGTATTCACAAGGGCATTTTAGTATAAGAACATATATTTTTCTAAAATTAAGCAACATTTATTGAGATCCTTAATCCTTGTGCACAAGCTAAAAACGACAATTATATAGGAACGGAGGGAGTATAATACAAGGAAGAAAGGGTTCTAAACCATGAATAAGTGAGTATCTATTTATTTTAATTAAATTACCCCTTAAAAATATGATCGTTATACACTTTAAGATTGAAAATTATACATTGTAGGTGAGTGAAGGGAATGTGTAAAATCATCGAAAAAAGTAATAAAATGTTCGAATTGATTTAGGTTTGAATATGTGTTTATGCGTGACATTTGTTTATGCTACCTTTTTAAATATTAATGTGAGAGGGGTACTGGTAATACTAAAACTTTGTGAAAATGTTATTTAAGAAGAATAAAGACTCCATGTAAAGGCCCCCTAAGATTAATTTGTCTTAAAAAGATAGAATAAAAAAAATGACAGATCTGTAGGGGTAGAATCAACATTTTCGGGAATAATCCCTCGACTAAAAGAAATTATGTGAAAAATCACACCAAAAGGGGTTCGAAGTAAGACAAATACAAATACTAAAGGGATTTTATTAACTACGGATATGTGGGTATTTTTCATAATTTAACCTAAATTCAAGATTTTTTTGTAATTTATCCTAGAATTATAATTAGGTACATTGAAGAAACTAAAATGCATACACATGAACGTTCATGGGAGATTTGTCATTAAAATTACATTGAAAAAGGAAAAAA